AACAGAACACCGTGCATGCACAGCAGCAGACGTTGAAAACTTACATGATGTCACACAGTCGACTTCACCTCTGTGGACACGCGCAGCAGTGAGAGGGAGGCCGCCACTTTCAGTCGGATGCACGAGATCGCGTCGTCCTATCAGAGGTCCGCCGTCTACCAGAATATGTTGGACAAAATGGAGCAGAGCCTGCAGATCTCAGACAAACCGGCCATCCCCTTTAAAAACAAAGACTCGCCCAACTGCGCTGCAAAGCTTGGAGTTCTGGTTAGGTCTGTGGCCTTCACTGCAGCTTGAGCTCTTTGTGGCAATCACAAGTTTTGTGTCTTACCGGCTGTGTTTGATGTGTGTGTGTTTTTTAATATTTAGGCGAACAGTCCGAAACCTCTCCAGAGACAGGATTGGTGTGATCATGCGTCTGTCCCAGAACCTGATCTACGGTTTCTTTGTGGCCTTCTTCGTCATCCATCTAGACATGGACGTGACCAAGGGTGCAGTGCAGGACCGAATAGGAATGATCTATCAGTGTGTGGCTGCTTCACCTTATACCGGCATGCTCAATGCTGTTTCTCTCTGTGAGTCCACCATCACCATATCTACATGTTGTATCCCTCACGGGTTATCAAGTGTTACCAGCAAGCAATTTGATTTGTTCTGCTGCATTACAAAGCTTGTTTTTCAGTTCATGTCATGGTGCAACAGGCTTTAATGGGATTTTCTTTGACATAAAGTGGTACATAATGGTAAAATGGAAAGACAAGTACTGTAGTTGTACCTCGCTGCTATTATGGGTATGATGTTATTGTCCTCCAATTTCACAACCGACTATCATCTGAAACGCCATAAAAATATATTGAAGTTTCGCTGCAAGGATCTAATGAAATTATTACCCGTGTCAAACACGACGCAGCATGTATTCACTTGATAGAAAAAGTAAACAGGTCATCGTTTGATTTAGCTGAGTGACGTCTTTAATGTGCTGCCCGGACCAAACGAGGCCCAAGTCAGACTTGATGCCGACCAACGAACGATTCACCAGAACGCAGAAACTTGCCATCACCTCAAGTTACAAAAACTTGCAAACGAGATGGCCGCAGAGCCAAATCTGTTGCTGAGACCAGGTGGAAGGCAGACGTACAAAGTGTTGTGTGGCGGCTTGTTTGAGGATATTACTTTGGCGCTTCGTGCTGACAGCGGCGCTCACAGCGGCGCTCACAGCGGCGCTCACAGCGGCGCTCACAGCGGCGCGGCTTCCATTACTGCGCGAACTGTTCAAACGCCGTGCAGAGAGCATGTCAAAAGCGTCAAAGCGCTGATTTATCCTTCAAATTCCCCCCAGAGTACAGACGGATTGAGCATCCGTGGGACGCTCTGGGCAGGTAACTTAGACGCGTGCGGTTTCCAGCGGTAGAAGTGTCCGCTGCGTTTCCATGCCACAGGGTGACCTCAGAGGTCATTCCCAGCTGCGGCTCAAAGTCAGGCGTGAACCAGATGGCATGACAGACTGAAAAGGTGGATCCTTTCTCTGAGATTTATCTCAGCTGTTTGACTGATTGTGTTTAGCTATTCATGCTTGAAGGGTAATGAACCTTTTCTCCACCACCGGTTCAGTGAAGCACAGTGAACTTTAACCTACAAACCTACAATGTCAGTGTGGCCAAGTCTAGTTTATGTTTTAACTCGTGTGAGGGAGGCTTTCTGGGGTTAATATGCTCAAGACTTCCTAAAAAAAAAACGGTACAAAACATTCGAGTTAAACAATTTCTTGTTTGTCTACAATTAATCTTAAATTTCACATTACTTATAGACTCTATTCAGAGTTATCTAAACAGCTCTATTTGATTGTTCCTGCTCTTTTAGCTAAGTATCTGCTGCTTATTGGCTGAGTCTAAAACATTAGCTTTAGGGCTGTAGATATCAAAGAGGATAAGAGGTATGATAAAATTGAGCAGGAGTCGCAGCCAGAGGTAGTGACTGCTTTATCAGGCTGACCTTGAAATTTGCTGATAAGATGTTACACTGAACTGCATGTTGTAAAGTAGTGACTTTGCTGAGTTAGGTGGACTGTGTTCTTGGAAAAGAATTCAGAATGGTCTCATCGGTTCGATTTATCAGGGGGATTTTCCAGTGTCAGATAATTAGTTATTAATAATGGAGCAAATGACCAACAGTAAAAGGAGGCAATGAAAGTTTTTTCTTTAGGACTCTTGTTTACTTGACAACTCGGCCTTAGCGTCCCGACTCTTTCCTCGGATCCCCGTTTTTGTTTCTTAGACCTTTTGGAGGCTCAGCATCAGAGCGTCCAACTCAACTCAGCCGTAAAGTTGTCGCTTTGTGTTTTTTTATTTTTTATTTTTTCGCCAACAGTCCCGCCGCTGCGAGCCATCAGCGATCAGGAGAGCCAGGACGGCCTGTACAGTAAAAGGCAACTGTTCTTGGCCTACATCGTCCACATCTTGCCCTTCAGCGTCCTCAGCGTCGTCATCTTCAGCTCCTTCATTTACTGGTGGGCAGCTGCAGATGAATCCCCATCATCAGTGAGCGTTGTGTTCAACAGCGACTCTTAACTCTGTCTGTTTTCCCCTTCTCAGGACGGTAGGGATGCACCCGGACACGTGGCGCTTTTTGTGTTTTACTGCTGTAGTTCTTGTTCCCCATGTAACAGGTGAGCTGATAAGACGATGGTTCTGATTAGACATTTTGTCTCATGTAGATATTTGCTCCGGAACATGTTTTTAGACCCACTGTCTTCTCCTTAAAAGACAGAAATATGGATGCCATTCAATCAATTTTGATGTCACTGAACAGTTTGTGTATTTTGTTAATTCAATGTGTGGAAAGTTTTTTTGTTTGTTTGTTTTTTGTGCAAACAATATCCCAAGATAATAACAATACACTTAAGACATATGCAAAATGAAGGTTATTGTGTATATAACATAAATAAACATGAGAAATTCATAGTACTCAGCTGAAACTGGGTATTTGTAAAGATATGTTGACTGTTTTTTCTTACTTTCTGACATTAAATGAGAGAAAGCTTTTTCTGTTTTAGATTGTTTAGGACTTAAAAATTCCTATTTGCTAAAATAATAATAAAAGAAAAAAATAAAAAAGGGAGATATTTTAAAATTATATATATTTTTTGCTTTTGTCTAATGCAGAGGTTTGCGTAAACTTGGTACTTGTTTTGCCACGTGTTTTCCTTCCACTACATTTTCCATTGATGTGCCTTAATTCAGCAATCTGCAAACACCTGGTTTCTTCAGCAATTACTTGTTGGGCTTGTCCCGCTTATGGAAGATGTCAGTGACTTTTTGCTAGACAATTGTGAAGTCGGCAGTCTTCTACATGATTGTTCATGTTAAAGTAACACATTTATGTATTAACTTACCTGTTGTTTTTATTCTAAGATTCAAAAAAACAAAATTTTGGGCTTATGGTAGCTGTAAAAAATTAATGAATTATTACAAGTAAACAACTGAAATACAGCTTGGATCAGAGGAGAGAGGAAAACGTTATGTTTTGACAGGTGTGGTAGTCATGTTGGTGTTTTATTAACAGTGCACAGGTGTTTAAAATTGTAATTTAAAAAGACAATGTCCTCAGGTTTTACCATTTTAAGCGACTTGTTTTCCTGTGTGTATCTAAACCTGTTCCTCAGGGGAGTTGTTGACGGTGGTTCTGCTCGGAGTGGTCCAGGACCCTAACATGGTCAATACCGGGATGGCTTTACTTAACATTGCAGGAATCCTGGTTGGATCCGGTTTCCTCAGGTTAGATGAACCTCATTTTAATGTGTCTGAAATTGTTTTGTTTTTTTAAAAACAGATATTTGATTTGTAAGTTTTAAATGTGGTTGACTCTTCACATCTGCAGAAGCACGGAGCAGATGCCGGTGGTATTTCAGTGGCTCAGTTACCTCACTTTCCAGAAATACAGCTGTGAACTTCTCATTGTCACCGAGTTCCTCAATCTGGAGTTCACCTGCAGTAAGTTTCTTTTTATTGACAGATTTGATTTAAATCACACTGTTGGTGTTTCCTAATGTTTCATAGACGTATAACGCGCTTCACTTTCTTAACTGAAAGCATACAAACATTTTACATGTATGTCTTTGTTTTGATTTTTTTAATCCTTTGCAACTTTGATATTTGATGTTGCGACTGATAAAGAATGAGTTCAATGTTCAAGGACTCTTAAGTTGAGCGCAGGGTAACAACAAGGTTCTTGTCGGCTTGTTTGGGGAAAAAAATCCAATCGGAGTTTGATCGTTTCTGTTTGCCGTTATTGCAGACGGGACCAAATCCTTACCAGGAGCCTGTGTGATCACTTCAGGGGATCAGATCATCGACATGGGCTATCCCGGTGCTTTGTCGCGGTACACGCTAGACTTTGTTCTCCTCTACTCCTTCCTCCCTGCTTTGGTTGTGATGGGAATGATCAGCTTCAGGATCAGGGATAAACTCATCCGCCACTGAAAACAAAACCTTTCCATTCATTAATTCTGGCGTGTCGGTCAGTTCTTCTGTGGTTCGGTTTTTGTATTTCAGTAATAGTTTACTGTAATTGTGCAGTCTGCCATAATGTAAAATTGTGTTGTAAACAGTACAAGAACTTTCCGATAGATCATGACGAGGATCAAACTAATAAGTTTGAATTATCTTATTTTAAGGTAGTCAGAAAAACTTACAATAGACATGTGAATCTAGCATCTGCTCATTTTAAATGTTCTTGTTAGTCTCCACATAAAACCTGCACATTATCTTAGTCTTTCTGCCAGCACTTTAAATTTTTTTTAAGCTAGACTTATTTTTTTATATATAGTTTTTGAAATTGACTGTATTGCCAATAATCGAAACAAGCACACTGATAACCCCAAAGTTTCAACATCGGAGAGAGAAAAGACAGCACCGGTTGACTATCACTGTCAATTTTAAAAGTCATAATAAATATCTAAAGAATATGTAAGGAATGTTTTGAATAATAGAAAGTTGCTGGAACTTGGTTTTAGAAAACTCATTTTAATAGCAATAGATTGAACGATTATTAACCAATAACGCACGAATTGCAAAGAAAGAAAAGAGCCTGTAAAAAATTTAAATAAATACAGCTAAATGTTTATGATATGTACACAATAAAGTGTTGTAACAAATGTATCTCCTATGCCTCCAGCTGCAGTTCTTTCCATGACTTCGCTGCATTTCTTTTATACTGCTCCAACTCCTGAAAAACAAATTCAGACAAAAACATGCAGACATTATCGTTTGTTTTCTGAAGAAAGTCTGGTGTGAGGTCAATTTAAAAATATAAAGTTTTCTCTCATCTTCGGACTATAACGAAAAATAAACGCATATTGTTCAACCCAGCAACATGTGATTCACTTACTTAAATGCAAATAAGGCAAAAATAAAAAATATCAAACTTTACCTCTATTTTCATCTATTCTTCTTTTCATATTTTAAATCTTTTGATGTAGATTAAATATATAGTTCATTGACAACACCATCCCTGTATTTTAATGCTTTTGCGAAATATGTTTTGTGTATATTTTTTTTTTGCTCTGGCAACTCAGATCAGCCACATCCTGAAGGCTTTGGTTCCAGAAAATAATGAGCCGTTATCAGGTAAGAGTCAGTCGGAGATAGCAGAGTGTGATTCATGCAGGTTACTGTAGTTCAAGTGCCACAGTGGAACCATGGCATGTTGACAAGAAGATAGATAGTATCAGCTTTTACAACTATAGGATATTATTACAGTTATGTTAATGAAAGCGTCACCGAAAGGCCAGGCTACTGCAGGGCACAAGGTTACTTTGTGTCAGAGCGCTAGAGATGGTGTGACATGGAGAAAAGAGGAGAGATCTGAGTCTTATTTATGTTAGTGGGGAAAAAAATCACCTACAAGAGAAAGAGAGAACCTCTGAATTATCAGTGCAGTAGCAAACAATCTAACATGAGATGTTTGAGGTAATATCAAAAACAAATAAATATTAAAACAGTTCCAGATAATTTTTAGACCACAAAGCGAGTAGAGATCCTGTGGAGTTATTGAGTAAATACGCCTCACTGTATAATTTAAAATGTGTGTGTGTGTGTTTCTTTAACAAACTAGTTTCTTTCTTAAAATACAGGACTGTGTCTTAGTAGTTTTGGTATTTTTTTGCTGCTTTTCGCTATAATTTCTGCTTCATAAATATGTTTGAACTTGAATCTTTTGCTTTACTTCCAGTTGTTCTTGGTGGTCTTGAATTAAACCTCCATTGGTAATCATGAAATAATTACTTATCTAAACTAATATTTTAGTTTGGATAAATTCTCCAACTCAGCGTTAACCCCTCATAGTTTATATCAAGTAGAATGTGCCATGAAATGAAGAAATTGTGCTGAAAAGTCTTAACCTCATTATAAAATGAGGTTAAGAAAGCAGAAAAGTTAAATTTATTAAAAACGTCTTCTCTAAACATAGCCTTTATTTATCAAGTCAGACCTTGTTCTTCAAATTTCTGTATCTAAATTATTTTGTTACCTGTTGTCTATCAATACCTGCTTTCCTTGATATGGATTACAAAGTCCAGGGACACAGAGACTGACCCAAACGTCGCCCACTATCTACAGTTGTCTGTCTAAAATCAGTCTTTTTCAGTGTTTTACTGCAGCAGCTACAACTATTTAGCTGAAGAACCGAGTGTGTGAGTGTTAAAATTGTCACCTGATCTTTCTGTGCTCTCATTGCATCAATTTGAGGCTCACTGTACTGCGGGTCTTTGGCTGGATCCTTCAGCTCTCTCTGCTCACTGTGGCTCTGGGAAAACAAGATTGTTCCCATGTGCTGAAAACATTTCTGTTCTTGTATGTGAGCTGAAATAGAGAAGTGTGCTGCTACCTCGCTGGGAAAGACTCGTTCGTACAATTTCTTCCACAGATCCTTTGGGTTTTTGGCATGCAGAGACGTTATGTCGATGTCAGCTGAAGGAGGCGACCCTAAATATCAGGAAATATTATTTTAAAAACAATATCTCACAATCCTCTACATCCAAACAAACTACAGTTCATTTAAAAAGGTACAGGAGCATACCAATAAATTAGAATGTTATTAAATACTATTTAGTAGGTCAGTTCAGTTTGTGGTTCTTACGTGGCAAATCTGACAAAGTTCATCCACGGATGTTTCATCATGCAGTGTTTGTTTTTGTGGCACACAGCAGTCCTGGTTTATTTTAAATGTGTTTAATCGTTTGGACAGTAGGTGGTGCTGTTGCTCACCTATTTGGCTGAAAGAGTCAGAGCCAGCAGGGATGATAAGAGGTTTACTTGAGTCACAGGACACAGTTTTCCTGATTGTAAATATTAATGAAAAAAGAGAAAAAATGAACTCAAGACATGTTGCTATTATGATTATTCTCTGTTTTCATTTATATAACAGATGACAGAAAATTACGACTCTAATATGTACAACTAAAAAAAAAAAGAGTTTGAACAAAAACTAAATGAGAGCTTTTATAAAAGATAAAAGAACTTCTGAGTTTACAATTAGAAAGTTTCCTACAAGATTCACATTTAAGTTCTTCATATCCTACAATACAAAATTCCTATTAAATAATGAAATCTCTTTGCATTAATTGGTCATTTGCTCCTCACCCTCTGTCCAGACCAAACGCCAGATGTGAGAAGAAGCTCTTGGTTTTAGACATGAGGCTCTCTGATTTAATGCTTGTGAACTAATATAAACAACAGATAGAAAAAAAATCAGAAATGAAAGCAGCTTAACAGCAGATGGAAGTCAAACTGCATATGGACATATATCCTGCTGGGGTTCACTTACAATCAGAGAGGCTGCGTAATAGTGGGCAAGAAAACGGAGGGTTTTTCTAATAACTTTCTTCTCGTCAGAGTCAAAGTCCTGCAACATAAATCAAAAGACTTTCACTTTAAATCTGTCACACCAAATAGACCAGGCTGCTTGTAATTTATCAAGAGATGAAATTTTCAAACCTCACTCTAACTGAAAGCAGTAAACAGTGGACGTTTACTGCCGTTAAATTGTGTGCTTTACCTGAAAGAGGTCATATTTGCTGCCGATGATGAGCAGTGGAACGGGAAAAGGACTGATCAGCTCTCTGTCCTGTTGAAAGATGAAGTTAAACCTTCAGAAGTACATATGAAAATAAAGCCAGCATTAAATATACAAATATCAAGTAAATGAAAATGTGAAACCACAGTGATCTCTGCCCATACTGGGTAATCTTGTGGTAAGACCCGAGCTGCTGGGTGAGCAGCCTTCTGCCGTTTGCCTCCAGGTTTGGACTTCTGCGCCTCAGAAAAGACTTTTTCCACATGAGCTTGAGCTACATTCAGAAGTTTCTCCATGGTTCCCCACAGAGCGTTGGGTTTGGACAGGTCCAGAACAAGCACAAAAGAAAGAGACCTGAGAAAGACCATGTATTCAGGAACACGCCGCTTCTTTACTGCCAAGAAGCTGAAGCTTTAAATACAATCGCAAGGCAATAAGTGACCAACCTTATACTGTCCGGAGTGATGGGGATCTGGATGAGGTCTGAGAGAAAAGTTCCCCCTCCCAGTTCCCACAGGTGGGCTATATCTTTGGGCTGAAAAAGGAAAGAGGAGATCCACTTTTACAGCAGGGAAGTAACTGGCTATCTATAAAGAGTTACATGACTTCTACATCACAAGTGAACTGACTACAAATGACAGAACATCACGCTAATGCTAAACCACCACCATCAAGTCAGAAAAAAACAGCTTTATACATAAAACTTCAAGAGGAAATATTTTTATAGCCTTCTCACTAAAATTCCCTTTAGTCTGTATCATGAATACATTTAAAATAAAAAATATTTCCAAATTCACTTTGAACATTTTTTAAAAGAAGTTGGATCAAATAGCTCAGTTTTACATCAGCTTCCTTGTTCATCCTCCAATCACCTGTTGCCGCGAACCCGTTATCAGTGCTTATTGAGCTGGGCTACTAGGAGATCAACTAAATATGTTTGAATTGGTTTAAATGTAACATAACTTAAAGAATACAAGGAATGCTTTTTAAGCTTTCAATCTTAAAAACAGTATTTGTGCTTCTTTAGCCTCATGGAGAGGTCTGAGATCATCAAAGATCATGTGGGGTCGCCTTACTGTGTTGTGTCCTTTGGCCCTCCTGCCAAATGTATACTCCAGTGCTAGAGTCGGCTTTGGTGGCTCATCTCTTGTGGAGGAAAAGAAAGGAATTTAAGGGTAAGCAGAATTCACCTGTGTGCAATTTGACTTGTTCAGAATAAATCAAGCCTCACAGGTTTGTTGGAGAGCGTTAGTGAACAAAGCAGACAGATCAGGAGGAACGCGATGGATTAGGAAAACATCCAGGAATCTTATGGTAAGATCTGCTCTGGTGCCATCAATCCAACCTGGCTAAGTGAGCTTCAGACCCTTTGCAAAGGAGCTGTAGTTGCATCAAGAGATGCTCCAGATATTATTTATAAATGTATATGTATTTTGAAAAAAAGATAAAGACTTTTCCACGAACAAATTGTGTACATGAATTGTGAATATTTCTTCAGTAATTGTATTTTTGTTAGGCTCTCCTGAGTTAGCTAGCTTATTATGGCATTATGAAATATCTGCATACCATCAGTTGATAGTTATTAACTCTACTCACCTCTCCAGACATCTGAGGAGAATTGACGTTTTACCCTGAAAAAGACGAATTGGCTTCTTAAGCTATACCCTATGATTACCTTGAGGTCTGGAGCCTGTCTTACAACATATGAAAACAATGTAATGAGGCGCCACCAACCCCAGCTTTGCTCCCTATCAGAAACACGCTCCTTTCACAGACCGTCTCCCCTCCGGGACCCTCTCCAGCTTCACTCTGCTGCCTCTGGACCTCCGCCGCTGCCAGCTCCCAAAGCGTGTCCGAACTGAAAAACGAGAGGGAACAAATTCAGGACGTTTTCGGAGAAATAGTCTCTCCTTTCTAAGGGAGCTTCGTGGCAGGAATAAATTCGTTTTTTGGGGAGGATTATCACCTCATTTTTGCCATTGAACCAGAGTTGGGACTGAAACGACAAGCGTTGCTACAGCAACGTCGACGTCGGCCTTTTTCTGGGCGTTAATGGCGGATTTGGGTGCCGCCTGTAGGTGCATACCGCCACCTACCGTTCTGGAGCATGAAACGCGGGCTTCAGCGTTCTGAAAACATCCGCACACTGCAGAATACGAAGCTAGTTTTAGCTAAAAATTCAATTCGTGGTGGTTTGTTATGTTTCTTTTAAACAAACAGCAATATGAAATGGATCCCTTGCATGTAAATTTCTTTCATAATGTGCTCTAATCAATGGATTATTGGAGATGGTAGATTACAGTGTTCTACATTTACAATGGCATAACTGCAATATGGTGGATATGTCAGATTGCTTTGTATTATTAATAATATATTTTAAAACAACTGAATTACCAATATTACTCAGTGGTAAGGATACACCAGTGCTAGAGTAGGTCAATTACAGATTTAAGTCAATTAAGGAGTATGCGAGATTAAATGAAACGATTGAACAGGAAATTAATGTTATCTGTAACTCTAATCACCTTTCAAGATCTAAAACATCTTCCAACTATAATTTTTCTGTAGAAATGTTATATTCTTTAAGACTTCAAAACTTTATCAATAACAAACCAATCAAATGTGATTAAAAAAAATATTTAGAAAAGCAAAAAGGAAATCACGGTCCAAGCATCAATTGAGAGCTTCCAGTATCAGTAACATAATTTTGGATCAAATTGCCTTTATTACAAGCAACTAACACATTTTATAACAACTAATAAAATACTGTACATGAAATAATGGCATCAGGTTTACAGCAACCTTTTTTAGCCATAATGTAATGGCTCAGGAGGTCATCACAACTTTAAACACTGTTTTGTGATATCCATTAAACGGCAGCTGGGTGTGATGAATGAATATCTCTTGATTGATGCTCAAAATGAGCATCAAGGAAGGATGGTCATAATTTTTTCCTTGGTTCATCACAATAGGGCACATTTTCCAACAGTAGACCCTCTCTAGGTCGAAGCACTGTGGAAGGAAAATGTGTAGTGAATCAACAGGGGATCATTTCAACAATTCAGACATAAGTTGTACAGCAAGCAAAAGGTACAAAGAGAAGAATCATACAGAGTTTGTTTTCTGCAACGTGTTCCACTTGCAGCACAGTCTCACGAAGAACAGCTTCCACATCAGAGCCCATTTTAATCATCTGTAATTTGCAAAAACAACAACATAAACAGATTATATATGTATGACGGACTAAGGAACATGTTTAAATGTGTCCGTTCAAACAAAATGTAATATAAACGCTGACCTAAGTAAATGCAATGTGAAATGTTCAAACAAGGACTTTATTCATTAAAAGAAAAGGCGACTTACACCAACGAATCTGGCGATTTGTGAAAGAAATTACTGTACACCCTAAACCTAATTACTGACTCTGTCACCTTGTAGTAAAATAATGACCTTTTCTATGTTTTCCTCTGACGTTTCATGTTTGTTTTTCTTGAACTCCTCGTTGATCTTTAGCCTTGCAGCTTTGAAAAGAAAACAAACAACGAATGAACACATCCAATAATAATAAAAATCCAACAGCAACATACTTGCTTTCTTTTTCTTCAGCGCCATCCTGCTGCGTGACCTCACCTGCCAAAGCTCTTCCATCCTCTCTGAATACGTCCATTCTTGTTCTGTGCAGCTTTTTAAACACGCTTAGGACCTGCATTCATTCACATTAAATCGTTAATTCACTAACACACGTTGAGCAGCTGTGACTTCAGTTGTAACTGGCGCTTTTAGGTGACGTAATATTTCCTTAGAAAATAACTTTAGTGTGATTTAGCCTGATGGACTTAAAGAAAATACTATTTCGCTAAAAGTACTTTCTTAAATAGAAATATGGCTCAACACTCACCTTCAAACGAGTACCCATGTTGAATTTTTCTCCCTACTTCCGATATGTACGACGTTGACCAATCAGCGAAGGGTTTGGGATGACGCAGTGTTGCAGCCAATCAGGTGCTCGGCGTGCTCTTCGCTGGCTAAAAGCAGCAATCCGCTCCACGCCCCTATTTTGGTTGATCTCCGCCAACATGGCCGACGAAACGGCGAAAGCGCAGGTTGCCCAGCCGGGCGGAGACACAATATTTGGAAAAATCATCCGCAAAGAAATTCCCGTCGACCTGCTCTATGAAGACGATAAGGTTTGCAACTGAAACGTTCATTTCACGAAGGATTTCCATTGCAGCCAGAGCCCGCTGCAGTTCACTGCAGCACGTCTTGGTTGAGTCTGAGCTAGCTTTGCAGAAAGCGGGCTAAGGCACAGCATGGTGGTTGGATTTGCAAAGTCCTGAAAGTGTGCTAAAGTGCGACATTTTAGAGACAGAGAGGAGGGCTGCTGATAAATTCAACTCAGCGCGAGAGCAGAGAATTGTGCGTCCCTGATGTTTTTACTTTCGTTTTGCATTTGCTGCAAATTGATGAGGTTCCACTTAGCTGCACTTTCGATGCAGTATTTGAGACCTGCACGCAGCCTGTAGACCTTTAATAAAGCATGTAGATCACACTCATGCAGGAAGCAGGCTTCTTGATTATTTTTGTTTTCTCTCTGTCCCTCTTCTCTTTTAATGTCAGTGTGTTGCCTTCAATGACATTTCTCCACAAGCTCCCACTCACATCCTGGTCGTGCCTAAGAAACCAATCGTTCAGCTGTCGCAAGCCGAGGAAGGCGATGCTGCAGTAAGTACCACTCCTGACGCCTCCATAAATTACGATTCAATTTAGAACAATTTATATCATCGACCACCAGAGGGCAGCATTTAGAAATGTTACAAATATTTTGAACCAAGTATGTTACTATCAGTGATGGCAGTTACTTTGGAAAAAGTCAGATCACTGATAACCCCATTGAAAAAGTAACTTAGTTAGTTATTCTTATGTATTTGATGTGTTACGGTTTTATTTAAACTGTCTTGGGGATGAATATGAATTAACTTGGCAGCCTATGTGTTGAATCTGATCCTAACCAAGTCTTTTTCTCCTGCAGTTGTTGGGCCACTTGCTGATCGTTTCACAGAAAGTCGCTCAAAAAGCAGGCCTGTCAAAAGGCTACCGGATCGTCATCAACGACGGGCCCGATGGAGGCCAGTCTGTCTACCACCTCCACGTCCATGTGTTGGGTGGACGCGGTATGGGATGGCCTCCGGGCTAGCCTTCCTCCTCCTGCTCCCGTCGCCGTGTCGTATCAACGTCCCTTGTCTGACATCGGTCCTGTTAAATGAAACAGCGAAAGAAATGTGAGGTTTCTGTGGTGTTAATAAAATACATCAGTGTGCTTGAAACTCTTTGAATGTTGTGGGGGGGTCATGGTTTTTAAACGTTTGCGTTTCGGGTCACAGCTTCGCAAACCTAGATGTGCAGGAAAAAAAGGGAAAGTTTGTATTTCTTCAATACTTTGGTCGAAGGAGATTGGAATTCTCAGCCTAAATCAATGGTTTTCAATGTTGGTCCTCATTGAAAAGACTTCAGGCCACACAAAGGACCTGCAGACCCATTTGCATTTTGATTAGACAGATGATTAATTGCCGTAAGCATAGAGCAGTGTTCAGTGCAAAAACAACTGAATATGGCCCACAGCAAAGTACTCAGAGCCCTCCACATTTACAAATGCACGAAACAGACTTTAGAATAGCTTTTATTATATTTAACGCAAAAATAATCAACAATAGCAAAGTAAAAATATGTTTACATAAGTTTGTGTACTTAAACTGAGTTGACCGAATATGATTTGTAATGTAACGTACTTAAGTTATGTAAAAATCTCACCGCTGACACAGCATATCAAACACAAGTCAAAGGAATCGTCTCGAGATCTGAGACCAGATTGCTTGAAAGCATAAATCTGGGAAACAAAAACTCATGGAAACGAAAGACATTTTGAAATATCTGGGAAAATGGGTAAAGCAGTAACCGAGAAGTCGAAGGTCACTAAATGTTGAGCTCCAGCGTTCTCTAGTGGTGATAGGAGAGCCATCCAGAAGGTCAACCATGATCATGACTCCATCACTCAGGCTTTCCTTGTAAAGTCACCGGCGCCTGTATGGACCGCAGTTCAAGTAAGTGTCCCAAAGAAAGTCGGTCTGCTGATGCTGCACGTCACATCCAACCTGACTGATTTAATCTGCAGACGAAAATGGAAGAAACAGACGTGTCAAAAGAGTAAAAACTCCCCAACGAAGTCTTGACATTCTGACAGCTGCCCTGTGTTATAACTTGTTACACAGAAAAAGGTCAGTTTCTTTCACTTATCAACTACTTTTTCATCAATATTAAGAAATGATTGACTTACAACAAGCTTCTGTATTTTACTCAAAAGTTACTTGTAAGTTAATTTTAAGTGTACAAAAATATTTGCACTAGAAACTAGACCAAAAACACTGATTTTGTGCTTTTTCGGTGTTGTGACGTTGATCGTCAGGACGTGTTTGTACCCAATAAGAGGCGGTAAAGACGCGACAAGTGAATAGCTCTTTTTTTTATTTTATTAACAGTAAGAATGCAGATAGTTGAACAAATATAAAATGCATAAAACATCCACATAATATTAAAACAAAAATAAATAAAAATGATTTTCTTTACAAAGTAAGAAAAAGAAATACAAAGAACACTGATCCAATGACACGTGTGGCATTTACAAAATATACCTAAATGTACCGAGCATTCACAGTCACCTAAGGTTTTTAACTTTCTGGACATCAGGAGAGGGGAAAAGGCAACAAAATAGGTTCAGACGAGCAGAGCAGTCACTTCTGATATCAGGCAGACTGACATCCTGAGTTAGATGCAATCTGTCAATTTATTGATGTGATGTGCAAAATAAAATCACTTCTTTTTTAGACAACTGCACCTTTTTCTTGCTAAGCAATGCCCTTCTGTCATTTAAAAGTTGACACTTTGAGGCCTTTAGAATCTGTGCACAGTACAGTATGGAGGGAGGGAAACAAACATGTAGTCCGGTACCTGAAAATCACTATTGTTAAAGGCGTCTAAGTACTAATACACTGCTTTAAATATTAACCTAGTCTACACACAGACTATAAGCTGAAGAGAGGTTCGGAAAAAAAAATGCTCAGTCTCCAAAAAGTAAGTCTAAAAGCAGCCAAGTGGTTGAGAAGTCCGAAACAGTCCAGGTATGTTGGAGATTCCCCTCATAGATGATACAGAACAAAACAAAAAATCCTCAGTGTTAGAAATGTGGAGCCACATTTCAAGATAATTTCAGATTTTTTTTTTAAATTAACAAATTAAAGGCATTTTAGTGATTATGTGTAATTTCAACAGCACCTTATTAAAAACAAATTCCAGCAGCTTTTCCCCCATGGAGATAATGTTTGTAGTAGAGTGGCAAGGAAGACTATTATCTAATTATAAACAAAACTAAACAAGGCTATTTAAATATAAAGTGATTAGTTCAAACACTGGCTCAATAAAGTAGAAATCCTTCCACAGGTGACGGGACCAAATAAAAAACAGTCAATTGGAATAAAAATAGATTGGCACCCCTAATAAATATGTAAAAAGCCTAATAGTAATTAGGATGAATTGTAACTTTTTTCTCCCCTATGAGAGATTCCTTCAACAATGGCTCAACAACTTGACAAAGTTACATCAGTAAACAGGGGATAACTGAAGCTGCCACTGCTGCTAAAACCACCAATCGAAATAAGTCAAATTTGACATGTAATTGCGTTTTGAACATGCTACTGTAGGGAGGAAGTGTGTTTCAGGCAACTGAGAGAAAAAAAAATGATGTAAGGAGGAAAACCCAAGACGACTAGAAGCCTAATGAGTAGAACCAGGTTCTACTCATTAGGCTCATTAACTGGTAATTATTTTATATAATCTTTTTACATGAATAAAATTCTGCTTGATTTCTCAATACTTCTAGGTTTAAACCGTGTTTCTCATAATTTAGCTGAAATGTCCTTTGTGTGAGTGTAACTAAAACATGTTAAGGTTTCACTTTACAATGCATTCAGTTTGTCTTCCATGAGCTCACAAACAAATGTGTTGACTAGTGTTTGAGGGGACGAGGTGCGACGCTGCTACAGGGGGCGGGTTTTGTTTTAAGGCATGTCCTCAGCGCAGGAAGGGTCCCAACGCATGAAGAAGGCAATAGGAGTGAAGCGGGTCTCAGTCCATGAGGATGTCAGGTTGGTTAGGGTGGTTGTTGGGCGTCAGCAGCTGGTGGCTGGGATGCTACGTCAGGCTATCTGAAACATCCTTGGGTCAAGTTTCTGCTAGCTGGCTTTCGGAGTGGTAGAGAATCTCACTTCATTTCTGATCGATGTCCGGTAAAAAGGAGACTGTGCGGTCTGCCAGCCGCCTACGCGCTAATCCATGCTCATGTTTATTCATTTCTCATCGAGGAGAGTTGCTGTTCATTTCTGTGCGATGGCCTCTTCTCCGCTCGGCCGCCTGCGACTGAAGGGCAGCCCGACGACGCCCGCCAGGCCCAAGCCCACGATGCTTTCTCGGCTCTCTGTGCTGGCGGCGGAAGACTGGATCCTGGTGGAGGCGGCGGAAACGTCAGGCCCAGGAAAGATTTCAGGCAGCGACTCTTTGGCTGGGCTGGCGGCAGAGGGGGGCGTGGCTTTGGTGGGGCTGGTGAGGCTGAGGCTGGCCAAGGCGTCCAAAGTCCCGTCTGGGTCCACCATCACATTAATCACTGAGACACAGGAAGCACTTTGTGAAATGGCTGATCACCATGTTAAACAGATGAGTTAAAACTGCTGTATATAACTTTTATAAAAATATGACTTTTTACATAATTGTTAAAAATGTCCTGCCAGTACAAAATGAGACTGATAATCTGTGGGAAAAAATGTACTTCAAAAATACACCACTTAGTCAGAAACAACAATGATAGCAATCAGAGCCAGGAGGAGGGTCTTAGCGCTGTCAATCACCATGTTTAGGGGCTGCTCACACCCTCCCTCTTGCTCTCTGCTAAGCTATAGCTGGTTCACATCAATCCTAACAATAAGTTGCTTATTCTCCATTAGTACACCGAGCAGCACATGCACAAGCATGACTGAGAACACTAAGACCGCCTCGCTCTGATTGGTGCATTTTTGCAGCAAAAGTATCCCTGGCAGGAGGTTGATGTTTTTGTAGATCATCTCTTATGTTATACAGTCACAATGTAATAATTTTTACAAAAATATGTAAAAACTACACACACACACACACACACACACACACACACACACACACACACACACACACACACACACACACACACACACACACACACACACACACACATATATACCTGATTTTTTATTTTATTTTTTTTTAGAAAAGTTATATACTGCAGCCATAACCTTTTCAACTTTTGCATATTTTGTCCAGCAGCATCTGTTCTGCTTTACCTTGGAGCTGTTTCTCAACTCTCTTCAGTTCGAGGAAAATCGAAGAGATTTCCTAAAAAACAACAACAAGCAAAAAGATGACAAAATTATAGCTTCCGTTTAAATTTGACTCATGTTCATTTTCAACATTCTTGTGTAGATGAATCGCTTTCTCTACCTTGTTGGAGGTTTTAAGAAGTGGAGCTTCACTCTCTGATTTCAGTTTACTCTCAATTTCATCCCAATTTCTGTCCTTATCCTTGAACAAGATCCTGGAATAAAAAATAAAAAAAAACTTTTCTTGACAGAAAAACAAGATAGCACTATAAGAAATGAAGTCAAGTGCTAAGATCTTGCTGCTCATACACAGTGGCTTGAAAGTAAATTCATACTCAATGTACCCCTGAATGTATTTTGACAGGATTTTATTGAGTGAACAACACTAAGAAGTAAAAAAAAAAAAATTTATCAGTTTTTACTTGATTTATTATGCATGCAATCCTCATGAGTCTATAGTTTATACAATCATCTTTTGCCACTGTGCTCTACCAAACCTACCCCTAAACTGAAAATGTTGTAAAATATCTCAGGCTCGGGGGAATCCGTGAACAGAAACATTCAAGTTGTCACAGATCCACTCTTTCATTTATTCACATTTAAAATGAGTATCTGGTTGTAACATAACCAAGTACCTGATTTTTCCTGCTGTTCTGTCAACAGAGTGTCTGATCTTGGTTGAGAGCTGAGACACTGAGTGGATCAGGAGGCTGTCCAACACCGCCTAAAAACCCACAACATCACAATTAGATAATGTTTTTAATTGCGAAAGCCTCAACATGCCGTTTACTGTGTTTCAGACTCGTCAGGCAGCTCCTCACCTCCTCTCGATTCCAGGTGCGCCTCCTCAAGGCCCGAGGCTCCCGGCCGTCAGGAGCTCG